CTACTAATCATTTAGTATCACAATATTAAAAAATTTAATTACCTAGGATTATTTCTCGCAAATAAGCAATTATCTTTACAATACAGTCTTGGCAGGAGTGGCCATCCTCCTCAAGGTGGATGGCGCAAGAAGAGAAGTCTTCACCAAAGGATATTTTTTTAAAAATAAATCGAAGATGTATGCCTAATTATTTAAATATAATATAAGATCTAGAGTTATTAAACTACAATAAATATATTTAAGGTTATAAACATATGTTTTAAACATTCATGAAATATTTTTATTTCACTTTTTCTTTCATACAAATACAATAAAATAGTATTTTAAACAATGTCATTGCCTTGATTCTGTGGATTTTAAATACTTTTTTCAAACTTAAAAAATATTTTAAAGTTTACATTTAGTAAGAAAATTTCATTTAATTTCCTTGGAAACACGTGATTTACGTTAAATAAATTAGTTTTCTGAAATATTATTTATATTTTTTTCCTCACTCTCCGTTACCTTCTACACTTTTATTTATTTGATATTATTTTTTCTGAAATTCTCCGCTTTCCAACGATATATTAGAGGTATACCTTCTGACTATTATTTCGACCCGAATAATCATTTTTCTTTTTTTCTCTATTATTAAACTATCAAATTCTTTCAAAAGATATATTTAGTATTGTTTTCATAGCTCTTAACAAAGAGAGAGACACACTTTATTTTCATATAAAATATAAAAGCTTGCTGCCCAATTATATTGGGTTGCGTTAATCTGTAGGACAATAAATAAACTTAATTATTCAAAATAAATAAAATTAAAGGTACTTTAGAGGAAGAAATGTTGACATTGGGTTAAAGCCCTTCTCCCCCTCTCCGCCTTCCTCCCAAAATGGTAAAATGAAATTATTTTTTATGGTAAAAAATATTAAAAAATTATCTCTTAAGATATTATTGCTGGTGTAATTACATTTAATATGACTTCAATAATCACTTAAAACACCACTTCATATAGGTAGTTAATATCTTTCTTTTTTCCCAAACTAATTATCGTTATATATATGAAAAAAAAAAGCTTTCGGGCTGAAGCTCCCCAAAATTAAATCCTGGATCCGCTAGTGTCCTTCACCATAATTTTCTTATAAATTAATAATATTCTGGGTGATAAATATGCAGGACGCAGTCTTTTTAAATTTTTTATTTATGCCAACGTTTCAACCCAAACATGTACTGAGTACTTGAACACCCTCAGTGCTCAAACCATGCCCTGAAGATGATCCGCATGTTTGGGTTGAAACGTTGGCATAAATAAAAAATTTAAAAAGACTGCGTCCTGAATATTTATCATCCATGATATGCAGAACATAACTTCCTTCAATAATATTCTGAGTATAGGTCTTATCCTCTTAGGTCTTATCTTGTACCTGAACTCAAATATGTATAACTTGATTGTTAATGAGGATGAAAGGTTTCTCAGATGTGGAGTTGTAACATCATCGCAAATTGTCTCCAACATCAACCTTCTCAATCTCCTTTTTCATACTAATTTTTTCAGCAAGGCTCAAAATGAAATGTTAACTTCTATTTTTAATCATTTTTGATATGACTGTAATCTTTATTTTCATTTTTTTAGAACTAAAACTGTTTTCCTTGCAACTTTTGATGTAAAGGTTTAACAAAATTTTTATTGGTAAAAAAATTTTGTTGCAAGTTCAGTTGATTTTGCCAAAAAGTCTAACTAAAAAATGACTTTTATTCTTATATACTCAATCAATGACCAATTCGAATCAAGTAATTCATTTTAGATAAATTATTAGTCTAATCTAAATCCAAACACCAATTATTTCTCATTTAACATATTTTTTTAAATAAATAAAGTTAAACTTTTACTATGAACCACAGCCAGATATGCCAATCCCTTTCTTGATGGCAAAGAAGCTAATCAAAACAGTAATCATTGAAGAACTGGAACGGAAACGGCAGTTGGAGTTAAAAGAGAAGCAATGGGCTTCTTTACTAGAAGATGATGGAAGAGTGCCAGTGGATCTCCCTAGAAATGGACCACAGGCACTGTTGCACAGTTCAGGATGAAAACTTGACATGAGTATCTCCAAAGCCATCTGTATTGGCCAAAGCAAACCATATTGGAGTTGTCGATTCATTCCATTGTGTCGACAAAGATTCATGACTGCTCTGCATCTACTGACTTGTTTCAGACTACAGGACAGAACGTGAAATTTACTGGGCTGCTAGACGTCGCATGGCCAAAAGAGCTCAAGACGATCAATGCATAAGATAAAAAAAAATATATTTACTATGAACCTAGAACTTTATTAAAAAAAGTTCTTTAGAAATTCTATTCTAAAAGCTTTTCCCCTAAAATGTTTCACCGAAACTGTTGAAATGGAACTTTTTATAAATTTTCAACCCCAGCTTATGATCTTTCCTTACCCATTTTTATTCAAATCATTGGTATATTATATTACATTATATATTTGTAAGTTATATTGGTAATCCTCAATATTATCTGACTGGCTATTGGCTTTATTATGTATGTTTATTTTACTTCATTAAAAGAATTATAAATTAATTATGAATGTTTAATTCTAAAATACAGTTATCACGATCCTTTTAATTGTTTATTCATATTGGCAACCGGAAGCTGCGGTCGAATGATAGTCTAGCGAGTTAATATTTAATTCACAAGGAAGAAATAAAAGTTGAGCCCTAATCGACTTTTTCTTTAAAACTAATAAAAATAAAATAAGCACAAATCCAGAAAAAAAAAAAAAGAAGGAAAATAAAACTTTATTTGCACATAACACTAAAAGTATACAACTAATGTAAAGGAGAAGTTGGTCGGAGATGCGATCAGAGAAATCACACACAAGATAAAAGGGACTTATATTTATTCATTAAGTTCGAGCTTTGTTGAAGGTATTTATCACATCTGCTCAGTAATGGACAGGAAACAACTGCTGTCTCCAATTCAGAAAAAAAAATTCTATATTTTAAACCCAAAATGGCTGTAATGATAAAGTATATCTATGAGAACGGTGTGTTCATTCATGTGACTTTTTAAATACTTAGGGTCAAAAGTCTGATACAAATTTTTTTTACGTATCTTTGCTAATATTGGTGCAATTAAGAATTTTTTTCCTACTTTAATTTTAATTTGTTTCAGTGAATTCTGCAGAAACTAACCAAAAGTGAATTGGTTTTCACGTGAAACAGTACAGTAGCTTTATATATTAATTCTCAAAAGTGACACGATTTAATCAAACATAATTTGAAAACTTGGGGTTTCCTGTCACAGAGAAAAATTAAAAGAATTCTTTTATTCTATGTAAAAATTTCAAGCCTTTATCAAGGCTTAAAAAAAATAAGATACCAACCAAACAAAACATATTAGATAGAAAATAAAAAGAAATAAACAAAGAAAACGTATATAATGGCAAGGCATGAAAATATACATAAAATATTGTGATAAGTAGTACATTTTTGAAAATTGTAATGTAAGAGGATAATATACTGTGATAATATATGAAAATATTCGATAAATTAAGGCAAGTATAAGTAAGTAGTAACTGTTATCTTTTTTTCTTCCCTACATGGCCTTTTTGGATATACAGGGTTTTTACCAGGCCATCAAAATAAAACATTTTTATTTTTCTTTCACCAACCATATTATCTACAGTTAACTAAACTATATATTAACTATATCAGTACTTGAACATCTTCAGTGCCGGTAATATGCCCTGATGATGACTCACAAGCTTGGGTTGAAACATCGACAATGACTATCTATGGAGACGAGAATGACTATCTATATAAAATGGAGACGAGTCGGCTGACTTCTTCCAGAATGATTCTAAATGTCTAACAGTAATTTCTCTCTGGACCCCAAGGGATTGTAAAGGAAGAATTAAAAATATTTTGTTCAAAGAAAAAACTTTAAACTAAGGAACATATTTGCATTAAATAACAAAATTAGATTACCTCTATTGATGTTTTAAAATAATGATATGGTGAAAAGCTTAACTGTTCACCTGAATGCGCAGTTAGAAACTACCAATATGATATGAAAAATTCTGCTTTAGTAAGATAGACTTATAGATAAGACAGAGATTGAGGATGGTTTAACGCAATAATCCATAGGTACGATAAAGTCAATCTATCCAAAAAATTGAATGCAATTACACTATCATAGCTTATTATTATCAGTCACTATAAATGAAGTGCACGACCAAACTCAGAAATCTGTTGAAGTTGACTTGTGAGGAGACTGCCAAGAATGAATACATGTTGCCTTATCTAAACAAGGCCGAGAAAAACTAGAAACTTTGATCAATTTGCATGTTAATTGGTTATCAGGTAAACAAGGCAGTGTACTCACCCATATGTTTAAAACAGGCATGTGTAATATGAAACATGAGAGAAACCGTTTGGAACATAACATGAATCAATAAAAAGTGTTTATTAAAATTAAATATCACATAAAATAATTTAGAACTCGATTTAGAGAATAAATATCAATAAATACAACAAAACAATAATTACAAGTATATTAGCTGTCAGTTTTATGATTAAAACTTCTTTTATTGGCTCTTCATACAATTAATGAAACATCAGTTCAATTTACAAATAATTTAGAATTCAAATGTGTAAATTGATATATTTCATTTGAAAAGAAAACATATTGATGATGGAAAAATCTTTCACTAATTCGAAGGACTTTTAACAAGCATTCAAATCTCTGAATGTAATTTAAAATTCTGAATAATAATTCTGTTAGATGTATTAAACCTAATAATTTATATCTGTAAAAGATTGAACTTTTTAATACATTAATTAATAAATCTTTAACACTCTAGATCAAGCATTTACAGGCCATCTGGGGCAGGAATTAACTTTCTACTTCCCTATTAGAAGGTCATTACCATGTATAGTCATATACATTTTGTAATCTTGCACTTGAAAAGGCAATAGGAAATTAGAAGAAAAAAAACACCACATTTTACATTCGTAAAATTTATTAGATACGGTATTAACATCTTCAAAATAACAATGTGGTTAGCTTAAAAACTAAAAGAAAAATATCTATATAACACATAACTTACGACTTTATTTTGTTTTTAAACAGAGAAAGTAAAAATTGAACTAAAAATAACAATAAAATAAGATCGAAACGAACCAGGTCTACTTTTATTTTACAAAAATAAATATGTTAATAACAGTGGTTATTACCATTTCGTGAATATTATACTAAGATTTCATATATATTCTATGTACAAGATATAAAAACATTTTTTTTTTGTTTCAATTTGACTAAACAAGTTTAAATACTAATGTTAAAAGAAACAATCTTATAATGGAAAAGCTTTAATAATGTTCTGATATCTATTAGTTAGTTGTACATGTGAAAAAATAATTTTCAGCCTTTTCGAAATTTGAGAACTGTAAAAATTAACTTAAGAGAGCTTCTTAGCTTTTTGATATAATGTGTCTACAACCTTACCCATGCTGTTAATAACTTCCAGGGCCATTTCGTAGGTTTTTTCAACAATCGCATCTTCGAACACTATAAGAACTCCCTCACCTTGGTCAAGAATACCATTGAACTTCTTATCAAGAATCATTTGAGAAAGCTTCTTTTCAACTTGAGGAAGGGGAAGTTTAATTGATTTTGAAATAAAATCGACTTGAGCTCTGGAATAAGGCTCAATGATCCTACACAAATTTTGTTCCAACATATTATCATAGAGTGTACCCAAGTGAGCTCGTACAATTGGATCTTCCTCAAGCTCTTTCTTGTAATTTTTCAAAGTTAGCTGGAAATCAGCAAGTGATCTCTTATGGCTGGCTTGAGCAACTGATTTCATTGCATCAATATCTTTACCAGCATGCTTAAGAGCAAGTTTCCCGCTAACCAACTGCTGCACGTCTTCTGGTGTGTTTAACATGATTTTACTCAGAAGCATATATTTAAGAGCAACTAAAGCCTTTGGGCTCTCTACACTATCATAGCCTTCAAAAGCTTCATAGAAATATGAGTAAGCTGTTTTGAAATCTTGTTCATCTGCTGCGTGTAATATACCAGATTGCAAATCGAGGGCTGCTTGCATTTTGGGTGGACAATATATGGAATTAGCAGTTGTCCTGGCTGATGTCAAAGCAGCCCTGGCTTTTGAAAGGTTGCTCAAAGCATGATAAGTTTTAGATTCCAACAAAAGGACTTCAACAAGCAAATTTTTATCATCTAATTTCTTTAATTCTTTAAGAAGACTTGAGCCAAGCTGTAGTGCTTCTGTAAACATTCCTGTGTCAAAATATAGAGCGATAAGCCTAGCTTCCAGTGACTGCCTGAGAAAAGTCCTGTGTTCATCTTTAGCCCATTCGATACACTCTTTACAAAGTTGAACTTCTATTCCTATTCCAGCTTCAAGATCCAAGAAATAATCTACCAAAGAACGCACTAATTTTGCAGCTTTAGCTTTACTAATCTGGCTAAGAAATGGTCTACTTGCCTTGATAAGCTCTGCTAACTCTTTAGCTTTGCCTTCTTTCTTATATTGCTCTCCCAACTGCAAAATTCCTTGTTCCTTATTTTTGATGTCTTCTTCATTTTCTTCGTCAACGTTTCTGCTAGAAGTTGGAAGAATTCGACTATTATCCCTATCTCTGGAAGAGACAGTCCTCTCAAACAACATTGCACCCGCCATGTTACTGAATGAAACGCTAGGTCATCAAGCAATGTGATCTTTCTTTTGTTTGTAATGTGGATTTTAAGAAGGCTTCAGAATAGTTCATACATTCTTATACCATAACCTTTAATTTTTTTTATTGTTTTTTTTAAGTTTTAATTTTCATGTGTCAAATTTAAAGTATTAATTTGAAAATTAAATGATCACTAGTCATTGAAAATAAAATACAATAATCTTTTTTTTAATGATTTTTATAAATGTTTTTTTTACGTATTTATAAAATACTTTATAAATAAAATATATATTTTAAATTTAATTTGAAATAATGAATTTATTATAATGGCAGTGAATTGAGTTGAAACGGGGTCAAGCTAGAATTTTGAATATGAGAGTCACTGTACTTCGTAGTTTCTAGACAATAAAAAAATATTTCAAAATTCGCTAGTCATGTTGAAAATCGTAGTATTTTTAGACCTGATTTATAACTTCTTCTAAAATAGCTACATGAAGATCTTTACAAAAGAATCTTTTTCTGTTTATAAACAGTATATATTTTTAGAAAACAAAAAACTTTTGTCAACATTAAAAGTTATTGTTCGAATTTATAATATTTTTATTAATTCAAGATATATAATAATAAATCTAATTATTTAGGTTATCATAATAACTGACATACATTAATTATATTAACGCTACGATAAAGATAACATTTAGAGTTCGTACATTAATAACAAATAACATTTTTTTTCTGTGACATGTTTTCGTATTTAATTTTATTTGTATGTATTTTTTATTAATATAGCATTATGTTATTGATTATTGAAATTAAAAGCAAGAACCAATGTAATCACTTCTATGTTTATTTTTTATGAAACAAGATATCTAACAATTTCCCTGATACCATTGATATCATATTCTGTTTGAAAGTTTTGAAAAAAATTAAATACCTTTCCAAATTTTATGGACTGTGCAAAAGTCAAAGATCAGAAGGAACATTCCTAATAGAATGATTTTAGCAACTAATAGTTTATAAAAATATTACTGTTTTAACACACTACAGAATTATATGACAATATTATAAATAATAAAAGAGAATGATGATGAGGCATAGCCCTGAAATGTTGATTATTTTACCTTATTAAAGAAAACATAAATAAACATAGTAGAAAGCAGGCCTTTAAATTAAAAAAAAAAAATTATATTTATTTAAAATATTTTTAAAAAGTATCACGGGAATTTATTTGTCAATGGTTTTTCAGTTCTTATAGAACTAGAACTTTTTCTCTTGGGACATTTCAAGTAAAGGTTTTACAGAATTTTTAAAACTTTTAATTAATAGTTCTGTCGATTTCACTAAAAAGTCGATTTAAACAATGATATTTATTCTTAGCTAATCGAACAGACAACACATTAGAATCGCAGGTAATTCATTTAAGTCAAATTAAAACTCTAATCTAAGACCAATTACTGTTTATTTTTCATTTTATTTCGATTAAATATTAGAAGAGAATGATGACATCTTCCTCCCGATCTCACAAATATCCTTCAATGTCGTGAACAACATTAGTTTTTGTCTCGGTTTTTGTATTGGGAACATTAGTTTTTGTCTCGGTTTTTGTATTGGGGACACTCTAGTAATGAGTGTTTAACTGTCTGATATATGTTGTCACACTTTTGCAGTTGGGCGCTTCTAGACCTCTAAGAAGGTATGCTTGTGTAAAAAGACAGTGTCCAATTCGCATTTAGCATACTATTATTTCTTCTAATATTTTATAAAGTATTGAAGTTAAAAGCAAGAACAAAATTTGTATTGTATATAATAAATTATCAAAAAATTTCCTAATGCTTTTGATTTTACATTCTGTTGTTTAGAAATTAAAAACAAAATTAAATAGGCTTCTAAATTTCTTGCAATAAAATTTAATATAAGCTTAATAGAGAAAATCTATTATTGTATCTGTGAAATTAAACATTGTTATTTTTAGGGTGCATGTATTATCTAAGTTTAAAACTAAGATTTATCAACTGTATACTCATTATCGGTAGATTAGAGTTTAATTATTTATTGAAACTAAATAAATTAATTGTTAACTAAATATTTTGGTACTTTCTACATTTTAAAAAATATTATGTTTATTGAATCTAATAATCGATAGCATATACTTCCATATGATTGAAAGAAGGTTCTCTAGTATTTATTTTTCTATACTCATAAATCTCCTCAACATCCTGTTGCCCTTGTGCACAACAGGGGTCTCCTGGTTTATAGCCTTGAATTTGAGGGAGTGAATCAGTGAGTGTTTCCTTGTTTTATCATAATGAGCACCAAATTATTTTATTTTATTTTTATCTAAGGAGTAATTTCCTTTAGAATAGCTATTTATTCCTATTTTATATTCCTGCAAAGCTATTCTAAATGTATATATATATATATATATATATATATATATATATATATATATATATATATATATATATATATATATATATATATATATATATTTGTAATTATTTATTTTAGCAACTGTGTTTTAATTTTCATAACATTTTAACATTATAACATTTTGTTCAATTTTTTTTTCAAAATATGTCCTGCTATACTATAGATTTTATTGTGTACTTTCAAATTTTAATATTTATTTAAATAATTTTGTTTTTTATAGGAATTATTTTTATGATTGTGTTATTTTTATTTTATCTTAAATTGCCCCATGAATTTCCTTGAATTAATTTCTGTTTTCAAAGAGATTAAAAATGTTATGAAACAAAAATTAATTTAAGAAACAATATGGTTTGAATATATTTTTTTTTAATAACTAGTTTGGAAAGTGCATTCAAAATAAATCATCAAGTTTTTTAAAAATTTTCTTTGAAACATACATTCAAAAGAAAAAGAAATATTTAAAAATACTCTGTTATTAGGGTATTGTTTACAACACAAAAAACAAAAAAAAAGAAAGTATTTTACTTCCAAAAATAAGACTACATCCATGTTTTAGTATTTAAATCACATAAAGTTATAAATGTACAATTCCTTAAAACTTAGGAAAACAGAATTATCCTAGGTATCAACTTATATATCCCATAAAAGATATAAAAGAAATGCATATCCATAAACATTTATGAAAATAATGAATGATGACTTGGTTATTTTATTGTTTATTTCTTTATGGAGAAAAATATAATAATTAGTAAAAAAAAGTAATAAAGATTAATAATAGATTTTATCTAGAAGAAAATTTATCACTTTTTTTTTGCGTTTATTATGCTTAGGAGTTGATGAGAGTAATTACCATACAATTTGGTTTAGAGATAAAAATGATATTTTTGGGAAAAACTTTTCAGTTACAACTCATGTTTAATACTTAATAGTTTAAATATTATTGATGAAAATGAGTAATTACAATTAATCAATTACTATTGAATAACAAATCTTTATGTATATTCATTCAAAGGTTTTATGTATATTTTATGAATAATTAAAATCCAGAAGCATAAAACTAAAAAAACCTTCCAACTTCTAGCATTCTTAATTCAACCAGTTAGTAGTTTTAGATTATTCCGTATATTTTCAAGGGTCTTCATTTTTTCATGTGTATTCTCAATCACATTATAAATAAAGGATTCTTATCCATTTATATCATATTTATTTTATTCTCTTCATTTATTTGTCTTAAACTAAAAAAAATTATTTGCCTTTTTTGTCATCTTTTATAAACATCGAACTTATTGACTAGATAATGTCAGAAGATAGGTGGTTTTGTGTTATCCTTCCGGGACAACTATTGTTCAAAATCAAAAATACATAAATTTTATTTTTTTTGTTTATTAAAAAGGTTTAATTATAATATATTTGAAATTAAGGAAAAAATGTTACTGAAGATTTTTTCACAAATTAATTTGATCTATCTTACGAAAAATTCATTTCTAAGAAATATGGTGGAACCTCAATTATCTCGAGTAATAACAGGGAGGAAGACGCGCGAATAATAAAAAATCATAGATAATCAATTTTTTTTTCCATATCAACTAATTATTGATAAGGATGAAAGCAAATCATAATATACAACAATAATAAATTTATATTTATCGCAAATAACAATCTGTACACATATACAAAATATTAATTGAAAATATATGTGTATTTATGATATGAATACATATATATATATATCAAAAAATTTTCTGATTATAAAATCTTATTTTTGACTTAAACAACAATGATCAGAAACCTTAGTTTATTTCTCTATTTTATTTCTATAATCAGTTTTCATAATATAATCAGTATTACTTATTCAAGATGACTTAACAGAGTGTCAAACCTTTCTAGCACTTTTGCAAATTGGGACTGTTTTCAAGAATTTGAAATATAAACATTAGAAGAACTTTTTTGTTATAAGTTTAAAACTCCAAAAGTTGTTTATTATTTCTCCAAATGATGATGATTCATTAATTCCTTTATTCTGGAAGAATAAAATACATCACTGGAAAGTAAATTAAATATATACAAATAAAATAATTAATTATTTGCTAAATCAATATTTTTCAACTTATTACATGGTTAATTTTATTTCTCAAAATGTTTTATTTTTCTATAAATCCATTTCAATAAATACAAGTTATAAAATTATAAAAATAATTGACTTATTTTTAATTTCAAAAATTAAAATTAAACTTGTGAAGAAATACTTTTCTTTTGAAAAAGTAATTAGGTACCTAATTCAAATTCAAACAAGGAGATAGCACTGAATGAACTTCAAAATTTCATTTATTAATTTAAGTATTTATTAATTTTTGTTTTGGATGAGGGTCTGCAATGTTTTAGTGAGCATAGAATGAGAAGTATTTATTAATAAATTTTTCTGACAGCTCAATTAAAATATTGTCCTACATTATTCTAAAGTGACTTTTCCCAGAACGAATAAAGCATCATCATTATTATTATTATTATTACATGACTAGTGAGTAAATTTTTCACTAATTTAGCAAATTATAAGCCAAATCATAAGAGTGCATTTTCATCAGAGAACATTTTTGAATATTTAATAAAATAACCTAAGTTGTATTGCTATCTTTTGCTACTGAAGAAGACTATTTCAGTAAGAAAAACAAAATTTTGCAAGGATCAAATGAATTTCAAGTTTCAGAACAGGCATTTTTATCCACATAATCATTGGAACAATTGATTAATTTTTAAGTTTTATTTTTAAATCAAATTCATAATTATGAACACTTCACCAATTGGAATTGTATCCTAACAAAGTTTAAATTAAATTAAATGTTACAAAACCAATTTTAGTATAAATTGGTTTGGGGTCACAGTCAAGAAAGGAAAGGAAAACACAAAAATAAGTAAACTTATTTCAGGGATGAAGAACAAAAAAATAAAAATTATAATAAATAATAAATAAATCTAAATACTTAACTTCAATAACTTGATGAAATAAATCTTATATAAAATAAGAACTTTTTCTCTCTTAATTATTATTATATTTGGTTAGGTTATATAAATATAACAGTTCATTGATAGGATCTACAAGGCAGTTTACTTAACAATACTAGTTAGACAGTACTGCCACAAAAGCAAATGCCATACTATTATAATGTTTACATGGCTGTGGCTGCAAACTGTGGAAATGAGACTTAAGATAAAAACAACAGCACACATTAACATAAGTTTAATGATTTATGTTTTTCTTTAAGGACAGTGGGGAGGGTGTGGCTCAGTAGGTTAGGCACTGACTTCCAGAGCTCTCAGAGATCCCTGGTTCAAATAATCCCCTGTTGATGGCAGATAAATTATTTATTCTATTTCATCGGCCGTGGATGGACCCTGGGGCACACCCAGCCCCTATAAAGTGGGTATTCTTAATTAATTAATTAAGGGGAAAAATCTAGTGGTTGGGCGTGATCTCTGTCAAATCCCCTCCCTGAGCAACCATTGACCAAGAAACAGTATTCCATTACATAGTACTGAACCCATGGGCCTTCAGAGGTTGTAGTAGTACTTTTCTTTTCTTTGGGAACTTTCAACAGGAAAACACTTTCAAAGCATGAATAAATCATTTACAAAATTAATTTTTTTTTTTTAAATTATGTCCATTAAAGTTTTTATATACAATGAATCTAAAAAGTCCACCATTAACTTCAGGACTTTAAATTAAATTTGTTCATAATTTTCAATTTTTCAAAAATATTGATGTCTTGAAATATAATTGTGTTTTAAACTGTATGGGGGTTGATTACGTATAAGAAAATTAAAATAGACTATTAATACATACAACTTGTATAAAAATATCCAAATGAAATTAGAAGGTAAAAAAAATGTAATGCTGAAATTTTTATAATTGATTTATTTTATTTCGTTAACACAAACATACAGAAACAAATATACAATAACACATTTGATAATCCCATGAGGGGCTGTGCAGCGAAAAGAATAAACATTAGTGGAATGTTTATGCTACAATTAAATATGAAAAGTTTTAGGTTAAATAGATAACTGTTAAAACAGTAAATAGATTGAACAATATCTCGACATTAATTAGCAAATATTGTGCATATTGATAAAACAAAAACAGAAAAAGAAAAGACATCAAAGCAATTGGATGAACAAGATTGGACTAAAATTAACTACAATTCATTATGTTAGATATTAATTAAGAGTAATGATTCTAATAATTCTTTAAAAGATGCACGTTTAATTTCATAATCGACTGCCGATAAGACAGAATAAAAACGATGAATTCTAACTGCTATAGGATATTTTATTCAAGCAAAAGTTATCAAACATAGTTAAAATTCAATACATCACTTTCAATTAATTGATATAGTAGTTTATAATAATATTAAAAATTTTGTGTATAATAACAATTCACATCATAGACATAAACAATCTTTTTTTATTTATATTTAATATTAAAATTGAAACATGAATACAAATTCATTTCATAAACAAACAAAAAATAATTAAATTTTCACCTTTATATAATAAAAAAAAAATTACAATTCATGATATAAAAACAAGGACAAAAGTTTAGAGATAAAATATTTTCCATAAAATGTGAAATTAGACATAAACTTAAATAACAATTCAACATAAAAACACTCTTACATTTTACAAAATAAAATAAATATTTGACTTAATAGTAGTGACTAGAATGGATGTCTTGAAAATCAATAAACAATCTTTCAACTATAAATAGAAGGAAATTAAATCTGTTTATCATTTATTGTAAATAAATGTCAAACTTTCACTAGTATATATTGTTACAAAGATATAACCAGATAAGGGTAGAGCTAGAAAAGGTGGTTTGTAAGGGATAACATAAAATTTAAATCATAACATGATTTGGTTTTCAAGAGATTGAAATAAAAAATATAATAAGATAGTTTTAAACCTGTTTTCGAGACAGCATATGAAATCATATAAATTTATTTATTTGTTTTTTTAACTTTGACCCATCATAATTGTAGTTACGTTAAGATTAATATTTCTATAATGAATTTTGTAAAAATGATTTCGAATCGAGACTTATTAAAATTCATTTAATTTATAAATTTAGTAAAACTATGGATATAGAAAAATCATCTAGATTTTTATCCCCACCTACCCACTCCAGCTTAAAAATTACTAGTGGAAGAACCAGTAGCGTGTATTGTTCATACAGGCAAAATCACAAATACTTATTTATAATTAAACTTAAACAGAAGATGTATTTATAAAACTCATTCCAAATATAATATAAATAACAATTTAATTAATTTATGCTGATGTTTTTTAATTATTAATATAATCAATGTGATTCGTACAAAGTTTTTTAACACATAGAAATTGAATAATCGAGAAAAAAAAAAAAGATTTCTAGAATATTGTATGTAATAAGACACCAAAATAAACTCTGACTTAATAGGAAATCCTCTTCTTACACTGAGAGGAAAATGTGGTCATCTCAAAAGAAAAAAAATTTAATGATTTTTATTTTATAGTTGTCAAAATGAATAAAACAGCGCTAACGAATTAAAAATATTATGATGTCAATATGTTCAATTTATTCATTATTATATTTATAAGAACATTTTCATTTATTGGAAACTAAATTAACTGATAAAGAATGGCCACTTTCTTTTTCTCCCAGTGTATTGTTATATTATTCGTAAGTATAAAAACTTGATAGACAATTTGAATAAAAAATAAATAATAATAATTTAATGAATTATACTAAGGTCACTGGTAACCTCAATAAATTTAAACAAAAAGTTCACAATTCATTTGCCTGTATAAAATACAGCTTTTAAACAAGGACGATAAAAAATATTGAAAATATCTAACCAAGTCTATTATAGTTTTTTTTTTTACATGTGTATAAATAATTTTTTTTTCACTTCAGTTACAAATATTTTGAAAATTAAATATACAATAATTAAATTATAATAAATAATTTGCTTATAAAAACTAATTTATACAATTCACTATATATTGCCACTATATAGGCTGAGCTTTTTTTGTTTCACAAAACACGATTTAGTTTGGAGCATCAAAATACTTTGTAGTTCCAGTATATAATTAGTCTTGTTTTATAAATTCATAGAAAATGGTTTGTTTGTTTGATATTTTTTTAATTTAATTTTTTTAAATGAATTTTAAAGATTACTACGTTATGTAAAAATTAAACTAATTCCTGAGAAAAAACAATAGTATATTAAAACTAATTGAATACTAACCATGAATGTTGTGTATTTTTATTTTATATAAATAAGTTTGTATAATTTACATGATAGCAGATAATTAACATTATTTCTACAATAATTGCAACCCTTATTTTCGAAAATATTTTTAAATACATTTCAATTAATAATATATTTGATGCAAGCCATATGCAAAAGATATCCTAAAATTAACAACACAAAATCGCCATAAACATAATTGTTATCGGCATATATATTAATATTATATATATATATATATAAATACCATTATCACAAAGAGCACATTTTGAAATATTCTCATGGACGAAATGATGTATTATTTTATTAGCTATAAACTAACAACATGGCATTTACACGAACATATACAGATCAAAAATGCAACTCCACAAGGTAAAGTACATTAGCTATAAATTCTCCGATTGGTTCGTACACAACCTATCATTCCTTACATCAGTCTGTCTCATACAAATATATATATTAAAAAAAAGGCAACAAATAATTTTTGGCCATATTTAAACTATTCGATTCCAAATGTATTTGTCTCTTCTACCGCCAACAGCAGTTTTTCATAAAGTATTTCGGGTGTCGGATAAGGTGGGAGATCTAGCCTGTTAAAGCAAGTGTGCGCTCTGAAAAGAATAATAATTCCATTAATATTATTTCAATATAAACTTTAAATGATATCTAAATTTAATATTAAACATATATACAATTTTCTCTTCATAATAATGTGTGTCATGGAGCAATGAAACTATCAACATATATTGCAATAAACTATATTATAAAAGTAATAATGAGGGCAGTCATGAAAGAATAATAAACTAAAAGCGGGGTAAGTGCAGCTAAGTTTGAGAGTTATTAAAAACAATCCCGAATAATAAATGATTTAAAAAAAGTTGTAACCCTCAGGGGTGCCCATTCCTCCCAAAGTCATTGGCACATAACCCTCCCCCCCTCTTCTCCCAAGAGATTTTATTTCTCTCCTCTTCTTAAAAACAGTGCAAGCCAACGTAAAATTTTGAAAATCATAGATCATATACAATTACACTTCCAGTGGTTTGTTCTATTCTTTCCTCATGTCCCTTGATTTGAAACTTTTCATTTTGAAGAATCACAACCCAGTTGAAATGAGCCCCCTTCAAAAATTTTGATGGAGCAACTTTAACCATAAAATCCCCTTTTGGGCGGGTATCCATGGTTACCATAGTGTAGATGCTTAAAAGTTCTCTTTAATTGGTTTTAGCAAAGACAAACTCTTCTTGCATTTATAGTAAATTTTGTCATTGTTAAATGCTATTGTTAATTGTTTCAATGAAATAATTTTTTAATTAATGCTTTTTATTCAACCAAAAAAACTTTACTTTAAGCACTTAACTGTACAAGTAATTATGCTATGTTCTGGTTTTCATAAACTCATGAATTCCTCCTGATTTTTTTTTTTTTCTATCACCTTCCAACTGGACTGTTACTTTGCAAATTTTTGTAACTTTTTGAAAGTTGAGAAAAAGCAAATTTTCAATAAATAGTTTCAATTTAAACCAATTCTGTTTTTTTTGTTTCATAATTCAACCTAAACATGTACCTCAAAATTTATATGCTAAAAACTGGGATTCAAAATTGTTCACAATTGCTAAATTTACCCTTTTAAAAATTTAATAAATAGATTATTGAAGCTAAAAATGGACAAAACTTCTAATTCAAATGAAAAGTAATGTAATAATGTGATTTACAAAAAAAGAGTGAACTTCAAATCTGATTCTCATTGATTAGCAGAACTTAATTATCTTATTTATTGCATTGAGTTTTTAAAATGGAGAGTCTTTTATTTGAAGAATAAATTTAAATTCATACAATATGTCTATTTTAAGACTTTTTAAAATAATATTAGGCCAATTATTGTTGGAAATTTATTTATTTGTATTTTTTTTTGGGTCCTCCCCGTCCTCGTCTTTAATGCTATACAGAGTTTTCCTCGGCCAGGGGATAGGGCGGAGATTTAAAAGACTCCCCTGGCACCGGGACGTGAACTCGTGACTATTTTATCACTTTATCTTACATCAGGTTGCCGGGCAACGGTGGTGATGTGCACATGCGTAAGCCCATTTGGGCACCCTTCCCACAATATTTATTTGTATTTGTGTAGTAACTCAATAACCTAAAAATTAACGTTCTAAGAAGATTTCCTATTCTCTCTATTCCAATTTTAATTTATTCAACCTATTCCCAATCTTGACCATACTAATGAAAAAACTATTGCATATAAATATTCGATGTAATACATAAATAAAATATTTAAGATATTCCATTTACCATAAAAATGTAATGATTTCAGAATAGAATGAGTATGTTCCATATTACACCATAATTTTTATATAATACAAACCATTTTGAAATAAATACTTGAGCTAATTCAGAAAAATATCAAATGTTAATAATTTTTTAGATATTTACCTTGGTAGGCTATTTGGTTTTCCCCATTTCTCGATGCAGAACTTGCGAGGCCCTGTTGAACCCCTTAGCGCCGAAAATCCTTCATAAGGTACACTTGATGTGCCGGTAACGAACTGCAACAACCTTAGGCGTTGTTCATTCGTGAATCTCTCCATTGCTGTCCAGAACCAACTTATAACAGGATGATTATCATGGTAACCTGGAATAGAAGAAAAAAATTAAAATCGATTTAGAAAATAAACAGCTAAATGTAAAATACAAAGTGTTCCAAATAATTCTTTTAAAAAACAAAACTAGATATTAAAAATATTCCAAAATAAATTTAATTAGGAAAAAAATATTAGATGATAAATAATCAGTATTTTCATTCATAATATGTTTATTATGGTTGCCAGCCAATATTTTTACCTAAGCTTGAATCATCCGGACTAAAATTAAAAATAAATAAGAAATAAAAGATATTGTATTAGTTACTTTTTTTATTAGTTTTGATTTATTACTTTCAGTAATGAACCATTTTAACTAAAAAAAAAAAGGTAACTGCTCAAAATTTGAGGTATTATGTACATACAATTTGAAAATAGAATAAAAAAAATTTTAATAGTGGGCTGATAGCTTTAAAATTTGTTATCAAATGCCAAAGTCACCCAAGTATGATTCTCCCAACTCGACATTACCATCTGTCATTTTGTTTCAAAACAGGTGAAAAATATATTTTTCTTAAGACTAGTGCCAAAATGGATTTAACTATTTTAATGAAACTTCTCCTTTAAATTTATGTATACAAAATGCTACTCTGAAAAGAAGCTATAAAAAAAGTTAAAATGAATTCAATTTTATTTGCAAATTACTCAAAAACTAAAAACTTTTTGGATGAATATGAAATCAGACTATTTGATTCAGAGATGGCATTTTGAAAGTCCCTTTTAATATTGACCTTAGTAAATTTAATAACTGTTTTCTCAAAGAACTTTTTGTCTGTTTTACGATGGTATATTTAGAATTTAATTATCTTGAACAGTTTTTGAGCAATTTCTTCTTGTTCAATAAAAAACGTGACCACCTTAAGAAAAACACAAAATTAGTCTTAAACTCCGTTTCCGTTCGGAATCGGCCCATGAATCAAATGAGACAGCCAGTATACTATATTACACCCATATAAATACGCTATATTACCAATGCAACTATTGCATCAATGACATGGAATAGTTTATAACTATATTAAATTTTTATTACTTACCAGATCGATATTCAGTGTTGAGCCTCCAGTCGGTGAGGTCTATCTCAGCTGTACCAGCGATGACTAGCTCCAGTTCTCGAGCGTCGAACACTGACACCAACCTTGGTTCGACGACTTCATAAAATCCCCTGACTAGTGATTCTGTCTGCTCGGAGACCCCTCGTTCTAACCTCCATCTAACTACCCTTTCAATATATTCCTAGACAAGGATTAAAAAAAAAATACAATTAATTATGATAGAAGGGAAATATTTAAGAATAAAAAAAAAAGCAACCCTTAATTAAATTTTAAGTCGTCATAATTTTAAATGGCAAGTTGATACACACACATACATAAAAAAAACATATATTCATTCAAAAACTCCTAGCTAAATAAATTCTAATAAATTGCTTTGGCTTGTTTTTGTTCTCAGTTTATAATAACTGTTAACAAGAAGTAAAATACATTTTTGAAAATACTACACATCACAGGAGATAAATAATCAGGAAGCAGTCATTTTTGGATTTTTTTATTGTTGCCAATGTGTAAACCCAAATATGTGGGTCACCATCAGAGAATGTTTGCAGTACTGAAGATATTCAAGTACTTCCTTCTATCAGTTCAAGTACTGAAGGTGTTTGAGTAATTGAATATCTTCAGTACTGCAAAAATGCCCTGATCATGACCCACATCTTTATGTTTAAACGTCTGCAACAATTAACAAAAATCTCAAAATGACTGCTTCCTGATTATTTATCTCCTAAGAAGTAAAATAATAATTTTTGTGGCCTAAACATATATAATTAAAAGTATAATATATAAGTTTTAAAGAAAAACAAATCTTATAAATGGCATCGCCCATTATAGTTTATAGATTTTTATAACTAAGAGAGCTCAAAAGGGAGTTTCATGGAGTAAGTTACACCACAAAAATTTTTGATGGGGCATATTTGGATGAGAGTTTAAATTTGTAGAATGAAAAGTTTGAAACTAGAGAACGAGGTGAAAAACATTGACCAGACAACTGCATGTATATTTGTATATGACTAACGATTTTTGTAATTCTACTTTCGCTTGATCTGTTTTTCTATTTCACTTTCGTCTGAGGAGAGCAATAAAATTTCTTGGAAACAGGCATCCTTGTTTAAAACAACCATATCTCTCTGAAAAATGAGACATATTTCATAACACTATCGACTTACAGTATACCAACAGCTTTTGCTCATTAGGCTTCTATTTTTTTCAAAATAAATAGAAAAGGATATGTACACCATTCCATATACATTAATAAGCTCATAAATGTCATGGCTGTTATGATTATATATCTTCAATTTGAAAAGGCGGAAAGAATTTCAATTTTAACCCCTGGGTCAAGTACTTACCTCTATGAAGTTCTAGACTTCTACACTGAATGGTAAGATTTTTAAAATATGAATTATATTTAGTAATTAACAAAATGGACTAAAAATCAAATGGTGTTGTTTGAAATAACTTTTGTTTAACCAGTTCTTATATTTAGAAAGGTAAAAATAAGAAAACATAATTAATTTTATAAAGACATTTTGATTTATATTTACCTTCTTATTCTTTTCTGTGACAGAAATGTTCTTTCCACCTGGTTTCAACTCCCTCTCTACCGCTTGACCGAAAACTTCTTCAGTAACGGCAAAGGTCAGATCTAAGACTTCGGATGAAATGTCGTGCTCTTTGATCCACAGAAGTGAGCCATGGAACTCCTGATCAAGCGATTCAAGATCGGACAGTGAGACTGGCCTGCATAAGTGATATTTTATTAAAAATGGTAAAATAATATTTATAAAAAAAACTATAATCAATTTTATATAATGCCAATCTAATATGAAATATAATTAAAAATAATAAAAATTAATATATTAAAAATTTTAAGTAAAATTTAAATAATTTTATAATATTTATTATAATTTAAAACAAATTATTTTTTATTAATAATAATGTATACTTACAGCCTTAAGAGTGCCTTATAAAACGGCCTAGTAAAAAAAGCATCTAAAAGGTACTGATGGACTAATGCCAAACCCAAAACTCTTCCGCTGAATCGGAACCTAAACATAAAAATAAAAAACTGATATTAACGCAAATTATTGAGAAACAAACTTTAATAGAATAGTCATAAAGTTTTAATAGAACATGTTAGGGCCAGAATTAAGAGGAGAGAGCATATGCGAGAGAATAAAGAAAAAAGTGAAAGATATTTCTGGTTATTAATTATTTTTATCTTAATTCAGTCAATAAATAAGTTAATGTTGTATTTACTTGAAAAATATATTTTAAAAAAAATCACTGAGCTCATTGATGACATTAGAAATTCACCAAACCATTCTTAAGCTCACTAAGCTCATTGATAGAAACCATCAATGGAATTATCAATGAAATACCAATGACTCAGAAGTTCCATCGGCTATTGGAGTTAATGGATAGTATATATCTATATCAATTATTTAAATAAGTATAAATCTATATCAATTATTTAAATAAGTATAAATCTATATCAGTTATTTAAATAAGTATATATCTATATTAGTTATTTAAGTAAGTATATATATATACATATCAGTTACTTAAGTAAGTATAAATCTATATCAGTTCTTTAAGTAAATATATATCTATATCAGTTACTTAAGTAAGTATAAATCTATATCAGTTATTACTTACCATTCATGCTGGTTGTCGACAAATGCAGACATGGGAGACACCTGAACTGTGTAAGTGTCATTTGCCGAATACTCAAAGAGACCGTAGTACGGATTGAACAGCTCCCTCGACAGCAGGAAGAAGAATTCTCTCGACGGACCACCGTAATCGAGCCCTTCCTCATGGTCAAACTGGACGTACAACTTGCACTTCTGAAGGTCTTTCTTTGAAGTTATCATAATTTTGTTAAAGGCATCTTCAAGCAAATGTTCTCTTCTAATATGAAGCCTGTGGAAAAAAAAAAAATTAAAAAATTACATTTTGCAACAGCATTTACAAACAAATTGGTCAACTATATGGGAAAGTATAATCAATATTAAATAAAAAAAGAGATTTCCTTAGAAATAAATTAAAATATCATTGTGTTCTTTATTAAGGAGAAATCCAACAATTCACACTTTTTTGCAGAGAGAAAAATATTAAGAACACATATGAAAAGTTACACTGACTAAAAATAAAAAAAGATTATTTTAAGAAAATGTTTGTAACATAGGGCTTTGTTATATAGAATAGCATCTCTAACTACAGACGTTAGGGCCACTAAATTTTTTATGAAAAAGTATTTAGAAAAAAATTGGAGTTGACTTATAGGGCAGAATAATAATTTTATTTAATAAGACAATCTTTTTTTCTTTCCTTATTTTAATTTTTTATGATTTTGGGTATCAATTGCAATTTGATATAAATATCATATACAATTTTAAGTAACATATCAATATTAAAAACCTAAAAAAATATAATAAATTTTATTTAAAAAAATAATGATATAATTGTACGTCTTTATTATAAATTATTAATAAAGGAAAAAAAAAAGAGAATTAAACATCAAGAAGTCTTCATTGTTCTGTTAAAGTATGGAAGCTGAACACTTTTAAGAAAGATTTCCATATCAATTAACATTCAAGAAAACAATATGTAATAATCTTAATGTTTATTCAATAGAATTAATGATGAGCATTAATTATCATAGATAACATATGCCAGTAAATACCAATTGATATGAAATCTTGATAAATTACAATCAGGAATTAATTATTATTTAAGATAATGAAGGCATTGAAACATCCATTAAATCATCAAGGTTCACCTATGAAAAGGGTTCCAACGTTTAGTGCAGATTTGGCTCTCAATTTTTTTTTTTTTTTAGTTTCTTAATGAGACATTTACAACTGTATTAAATAAATACATCTAGCAAATTTGGACATAATAGATATAATGACATGAATACACTTGCTGAGTAATGGTAGCAATGGTAGCACTCTAATGATATGATTACATTAGGAGATCACGGAGCCATCTTCTTTTCAGACGCATTGGAGGGTTATCAGGAATTGAAGAGGAAGCAAGGTTAGAAACGATAGGGTTGGGATGATTCTGAATTTTTTTATGGAAGGATAGGTATCTGGATTGGGCCAGATCTGAAACATAAGGAACATTAAGGTCTTTATGGATAATTTTATTAGTGACAAAGTAAGGAGCATTGAGGATTTTACGAAGGATTTTGGATTGTAAGGATTGGATGCGAGACGAATTCAATGGTTTAGTGGAGCCCCATAGTTCAATTCCGTAAGTCCAAATAGGTCTTATTATAGTCAAGTATATGAGTCTTTTGTAATTAATGGGAAGTTTAGAGCGTTTGTCTAGTAAGTGCTGAAGTAATCGGAGCGGTTTCTTGTCGTTTCAGTCTAGTATGAGGATTCCAAGTTAGTCGTTTGTCCAGGTGGAGTCCTAGGTATCGGATTTTCTCAACAGGGATAAGTGGAGTATTGTTAAAGGAAACTGTAGGACAGGCAGTTGTTGGTTTACGACGAAGGGTAAAGGTAATTTGATGGGATTTATTGGAATTATTTTAATTCTCCAGTTTTGACACCATTCTTCAAGATTTATGATGTGTGATTGAAGCATTTGGGATGCAATTTATGGGTCATTATTTACTGATAGGATACATGTGTCATCGGCATATGTGGTGATAACAGTGTTGGGATAGGTAGGGATGTCAGCTGTATAAACTGTATAGAGGATAGGACCTAGGTTCCTTGAGGAACACCAGCGGACTGGGAAAAAAGGGATGTCATTTTTTTTTTAAATTGTTGTAATGTTGATATTTGGCTCTTTGGCTAATAATTTTGCCGACCACTGCACTAAGCTAACAGGTTTTCATTATTTTCTAGAGGTACAAGCAAACCTCTTCTAAAAAAAGAATGGGAAGATCGAGATTCATTTCGTGGATCCGCTACGAAATAAATTTCAACCCGCCTAGGTCGGATTCGAACCGGTGTCGCTAGTCTCGAGAATGTTAAATTTTACGCTTATGCTATTATTGCTAAGAGTAGACTCACTTGAGCTTGCCAGGCCCCTGGCCGTAGCCCTTGGACTCCAGCTTCCTGTAGAAGTTCCTGAGCTTGGCCTCGAAGTCCCTCCGGTAGGGAGCCGGCGCCCTGGCCGCACGACCCAGACCGGGCGAGGCCTGCGGCGACAGTTGTGGGGATAGCCTGGGCGACACCCCGCCGGTCGTCGCCGCAGGCACGTAGGACATGATCTCATTCTCGAAGAGGCTGCAACATAATATCACATTATATAGAACTTAATTATTATATAGACATTATTAATGCCCTCGGGCAGTGGAAGGAATTTATTACATGTTTATATTGTATTATTGTATACTATATATGTAATTGTTTCAATAAACTTTTTGGAGGGTAAGAAAAAAAAAAAAAAAAAAAAAAAAAAAAAAAAAAAAATATAGACATTATTACAATTATTAAAACTAGTGTTCGTCCAGTGGTCGAAATTCGACAATAGCCATTAAAAATTTGAGGAAAACATAAATAAATTCAATAAATAAGGAGTAAAAATCTTCATTTATTAATACAAACAAAATTTCAATTAAAAATCGAACATAAACTACTTAAAATTATTTATAAGTAATACAAAGTAGACTCAAAATATTTCATTTTCATTTTAATCTATGTGTGTTATTATCACAATAAATTAATGTTATGATTAAGCAAATAAAAATTAAATTTAAATTAGCAATTTCAACTGAGTTTAAATCCATTTTTATGCAGAACTTCTCTAAAAAAAACGTTCCTTTTTTAAATGTTCTGTTATTGTTTAGTACATAGCCTTGACCATTGCCATTGTAAATATAAATTTCAAAATTTTAATTTTCATTTTAATGCAAAAATACTGGACGTCGCAATAATACACAAATCTTTTCAAAACTTTGACCCTGCGATTTGATTATGGTCATAGCAAATGCAGCTATTAATAAGAACGTTGTTCTTTGAAATTCGATTGGAATCATTGTACCAGAAAATATTAAATTAATTCTTGGAATTAAAATTTTTTTATTTAAAATATCTCACGTCAGTACTTCACTCTCATTCGTGTTCCATTAACTACTGCTTGAAGTTAAGAATGAGTATAACTATAGAATTTATTTTTTAATTTAATTTATGAGGTAACATTCCATGATATCATCTCTCGAAATAATAGTTCCTCCAGATCACTTCATTAAATTTAAAGTTTTCGATTTATCAAAAACCAAAATAGAGGAAATCGACTTTGCAAAAGAAAAAGTACTAAATGTTTAAAATGATATATCTCTGCAACAAATAATTTGATTTCAATGATTTTAAAAAATATTGGTGTTATCAATAAACAAATGTGTACTTTTTGAGTTATTCGCAAATAAAATACTGAATTCATCATAAAAAATGTATGCAGCTTGTTTTCGGGAAAGCCGAATAGCCTATTCGCTTTTTTTCTTAGAAATAAGAAGCCCATTAGAGAGTTACTGTAATATGGCAAAATGGAAATGGAAGATTATAAATAAAATTTACTATAAAATATATACGTTTTGAGTCATGTCTCAAAAAAAAAAAATGTCTTTTCTTCATAATTTTTTTCTTGAGAATTCACAACATACATGAAAATTAAAAAGATTTCAAATGAAAAACTGTAGGCAATATTTATCAAAATCGTTCGTTATTTCGGAGCAATATTTTATAGAGACACACGTTTTCTCCTATTATAAATACTATCTGTACAAAGTAAATAATAATTTTACCAAACTAAATAAACTTTTATGTGCTACAAATAAATTCATCCCCACCCCTATCTAATGTATGACCCTCGATACAATGCTTAAGTCAAATATTTTTAGGAATATATGATTAAAAGTTAAGTCGAATTATAAATTATAATGCATACTATACAGAATAACCGACCTGTCGAAAAAGAACAAATAAAATTGTTCCATTTCATAGTGAACGAAACTTCATAGCCACATCACCGCTAGTTAACCACTAGATAGCAGTCCATCTACTCACACCGATCCCCACTTTTACATAATTATTAATATAACATATATTAAGTATTACTGTCAAGGCTTATGTTAAATCTTGATTATATCAATGAAGTGGATGTAATAACAATACCTTCGAAGTATCTCACGTTGTTTTTATAAAGGAATATTAAAAATAGCCTTCTGGTTTGTTTACACAACATTAAATATATACAATGGAATAAGTATCTATGGAACGGTCGTAAATTATTTAAATAATAGAAGTATGTTAAACCTCTCAAGTGTTTTCAAAGTCGCAATATCTATTTAGCATTAGTACGCTAAATATGGTCGCTTGTACACTCACCTTTAACATTATTTGAGATCTGAAAAATTGTACTAATTTAAAACTATTTAGAAAGTTATTGTGAGGTTTTCATCTCGCGTTTATTTCGTTAGTTTTGAAATAATTACATAATACGAAATAAGTAATGTATGCAGCAGTAATTCGGTAAACTGTTGGACGAAACAGCACACAAATACACAAAAAATAGTTAAGAAAAATGTAATGAAATTCGGGGTGAGTAACTTTATTTTTAAAATCAATCAAACTTTATCAGCTCAGATAATTAATTATCTGATATGATTATAATCTGAAGAACCCAAAAACTTCACAGAACACTGCTATAGCTGATAATAGTTCAGCAAGTATTAAGTTAGCACAGGGAGATTCTTCAAATATAATTTATGCTAACTATTTAGCACGATAATATATTAAGCACTTATAAGTATTTATTACAAGTTAAGTGAATATCTCTGTTATCATAATTCGTTGGAATATTATCTTCTAGATACAAGGTCTGTTAAAATTGTTTTTCCAAAAAATAGGCATAACATCCAATCGGCCGATAAAAAATAACAAATAGGAAATAAAATGAGTATAAACAAATTAAACAAAATGTCATAGTTTTTGTTATCTGCAGTATCTTTGTTGATTCTATCTATCCATCTGCTTTTTGGCCTTAAACTAGGTCTCTTGCTACTATTGAGGCATTCATTGCCTTGAAGAGGCTTCCTGATGGATTGCTACGAGCTACATGCCCAGCCTATCTTAACCTCTTTACCTCCACATCATGAGAAATGAGAAAATACAACACGAGATGTAAGCAAATAGTCATTTTTCATCCTCTATAATAGTTCGGCATCTAACACTAATTTAACATCTTTTTTTGTATCTCGTTTTTTGTTTAGCTTTGATGAATGGTCATAGCACAAGTCCAAACGTATGTCCCACTTACCATGTACGCCTATTTTGGCCGCACCTCCGACCAACAAGTTAAATTGAGATTTACGATCAAAAATATCTAATTACATTAAAATTACAAATAATTTACGGTTACGAAACTTTATCGTAATTATTAGATAAAATTGAAAGCTATTAAACAATTTTCTGAGGCATTAAGAACTTATTTCCCCGATATTACATTACTCATTTGCATATAATGAAAGGTTATTTTGTAATCGTTCGAACTAAAAATACGATCGATTTTTTAATCGTTCCTAAGTGATTAATGAATCCAGATCGATAGTTACAAGATTCATTTATCGACATATAACTTCATAAATAACGAGAGACATTTAGAAGATTTGCACAAGTTCGAGATAGGATCGATACAGTTTGGCCAATGTTGACACGACGATGCGGGTCGAGAAATTGCAACACGAAGCAAACGTAGCGAAACAATTTTTATTTAATTTACAGCTCGTCATTTCGAAATTTCTAAAATACATATTTATCTATCGTAAAACTTGATAATCATATTTAAGAAGTTATAAAATATACAGTGTTGAAGTATATTATACAATAGGAGTATTCTTGAAACCAGTGCAAAGTATTGTAAACCTACTGGACCGATTGTTTCGAGCTTTGATATCAATATCGAAGGGCACCCGAGGACGATTCTCGGAAGTCGGAACTACCCTTTCCTTTCAACATGGCGGTCGACTATAGCGTGTACAGGGATGTACTGATTTCAATGAAACTTAGACAAAGTCTTCTCTTCGAAGCCCTTTATATTTATGTAATGTAAGGTACTTTCCTTTCAAGATGGTGGCCAAAAAACCTCAGCGGTATAGACTGTAGCACCTAAACCAATGTATAAATTTCAATAAAATTTGGCTAAAGTCTCCCATTTAAATTTGTCTACATAGAATACTTAACTGCACAGGACGATCTGGTATGGTGGCAAAATGGTAAAATATAACCATGCTTTATAGAAAAAATATTAAATATCTCTTAAAGTATTAATGTTCATGTAATTGTATTTAATTAAGACTTCAAGAATTATTTAAACACCATGGCCTATAGGTAGTTAGTTTCCTTCTTTTTTTTTTCAAATTAATTATCGTTAAATATATGAAAACAAAAGCTTTCGGGAAGCCCCCGTCCAAAATTAATCTGGATCTGTTAGTGCTTCACCGAAAAGAAGCTAGGTGATAAAATTACATTTTCGAATAATTAAAAAAGTATACACTTTATTTTGGATGTTGCATATGGTCATTTAAAAGTTTAAGAAATTGCTTAAAAAACAAAACAGAAATCGTTGAAATCGGACGATTTGGTGCTAAGATATGTTGTTCCAAATATTGTATTTTCCACAAGTGCTGCAAAGCTGATATTGTTTGATTTGATTTTTGAAAAATCTTACGTTATCTGAGGCAATCTAGATTGTTGAATATATTTCTTAGAAAATTACTAATGATGAAAAAAAAAAAAAAAATGTAGACCAATATTAGTGTCTTTTATTTATTTTCCTCTTTGCCACAAAGAAAGTCTTGTTACATATAATATATAACTGTTCAGTAATAATAAACCATTGTGTAATAAATTGCAGCGTTTTGTTTTAAGTTTTAAGTAGAATAGAATGTAAGACAATATGCGAAAGGAATCCGTAAAATGTTGGACAAAAAAGTTGATTATCTGTTTACATAGTTTCGGATAACATGATGAAGTTTAAAGAGAATCATTTTTATTTTTTTTTTTTAATTTTCATATAATTTAATGGTTGTTAAACTTTATGTATTAAAAAGTGTTGGCATAAAAAAAAAATAATGAAGAATAAGACCTTAAAAATTAAAATCAATACGTAAATCCCAAGTTAACATAACATCGTGCTTCAGCATGACACCATGAGGTGTATTTCACTCAAGATTCGTGAATAACCCTCATATATATATATATATATATATATATATATATAATTAATA